CATTGCCAAGCCACTACGGTTCATTGATGAATGAGGAACGCTCCTGACATCTACTTCTTACTGTTTTAAGATCCTACAGACCGTCAGGGTTCCAAGCCAGAGGCAAGCTATTGGTATTGAGGTAAAGTTTTCCTTTTAGTTTAAATGCTATATTCCTTCATACGTAAAAAGACTCTGATAAAAAGACTCTGAAAACTTATTCTTAACCCTATTAAGTTTCTGTAATTTTCAAATTTAATATATTTTCATTTGGAGGGTTTTCTGATCAGTGTTGAAATCAAGATGAAACTTAATGAAAGGAACCAAAATATTTAATGTTTGAGAGTTGAGTTCAAATGGCTGCATGGCAGCCATCTAAACTGAAAGTTCTTGGTTTGAACTCAGTTAGGTTACTTGAGTCAACTTGAAGTGAGAATTTAATTGTTTGAGCTTCTTTTCTTTTCTATCTACTCTCTTGTTATCTTTTTTAAAGAAACATTAAAGATTTCTATTTTTAATTCAAGGTTGGGGACAATATGTGGGAATTTGCAATTCTTTCATCTGACCCATCTAGATTCATGTAATATCTTTGTTATCTTTTCCTCTAAATGAAAAATGGTAATATCTGTTATGTGTCTTTTGGTGTGATATAGCACTATTAATGAGTTAATGTCTGCAAAGTGCTCTACGCTTCATAGCTGGTAGTTTTATATTATTAGTTTTTTTTTTTTTTTACTTTTCTTTGAAAGGTTGAACTAAACGAAATAGAATCCCGGTGTGAAGAATACCCGTTGACTCGGGCCTTTTGCCAGCTCATCAGTACCCTGGTGGAAAGCTCATTTCCTTCTAATTTGGGTGCTGGACTGCGGCCCCCTGGGTTTGACCCTTATTTGCAGTTCCTCAGAGATTCTGTGTTTCTCCGATTCCGTACAAGAGCTTACCGGAGAGCAGCTGAAAAGGTGATGTCCAGAGAAAAAACTTTTTCCTCCTTACTCATTCACTGCTGCTTTTTCTTTTATCAAAGGTCTAAGGTGCTAAAAATGCATGTTAGTTTTTGAAAGGTAGTAAAATTCATAGTCTTAATTCTGAAATATCTGTGGTCTGATTCGTTTATGTGCATTGAAAAAGAAATTTGGGCATTAAAACCAAAGCACTGACACATTAGTGATCAGTAATCTAAATGATAGGAGTTCATAGTAATTCACATTCTTAATTGAACAAATTTTGACTGAAATTCAACCAAAATGTCACATGTTTGTTGGAAATACACTGCTGTACCTTTATTGGGATGATTTAGGTTAGGGATCAGAATAAGTCTAACTTACATATTAATTTCTATATGAGTAGCACTGGCTTATGAAGTGTTGCCTTAGTGGGAAGGAGTATTGTGATCCATCGGGCATGTCTGCCATGGATGGAGGCTAAGGGAGCACTGATATTTATGCACATATTTGCTCTGGTTGCAAGATGCTCATGACTGAGCTTATCGTAATATATCATCTTATGTAATTCCAATATTACTGTGAGGCAGGTACTATTAATATTCCCATTTTACAGATGGAGGCTTAGCAAGGTTAAGGAACTTGCCTAAGGTCCAGGACCAGGATTTGAACGTAGGACTCTGATTCCAGATCCAAGCTCATAACCACTAAGCTATGTAAGAAACTCTTCCAGGTTCTGGTGTAATTCACTTTAGTCTATAATACTGTTTATTACCTCACAGAATACACTTGAATGTATTTTGTAGGAACATTTTTGCTTTATTTATATAGTTTGCTATTTTTGAACCTGTTGGGTTTTTGTCGTATTAATAATTATAAAAATAATTTAGTTCATGCTAATTTGGGGCAATTAGGAAAATATAGTAAAAGAAGAAATTAT